TGCCCTACTCTCCACATATCTACTGCAAGTAATCTTTGTGGCTCTCTGAAACAAAAATAGCTGTTAGAAAAAATGATGAATTTACTACTTAAAACCATACATGAAAATTTAAGGAAATAACACAGAGTGACTTAGACTTAAAGGTCTCAGAGCGGCTTGTTTGCAAATGCCTGCTCATCATGTACTAGCAACAGAGAAAAGAAATGGTAAACATCACTTAGATCTTTAGAAAGATCTACTTTTCATCTTCACACGCTCATACATGGAACTTATCCTGCCTTGCCACACTAAGGAAGTGTCAAGTATATGACATGATGGTAGTATTTTTGAGACTACATTACCCCCCTCCCTCTGCTCCCTTCAAACCTGCAGCCTCAAGCTGTAATTATGGTGCCATGATCAGAAAGTTGTGTTTTGTCAGGTTTGGCCCTGAATGGGTGGCAGCATAATTTCACGCTGCTGGTAGGAGCGTGGTGCAGCTGTGCAAATCCGGAATGTTTGTTGTTCATTGTTTAAGGAGTCGCTTTTTTCTCTTCTGGCCTAATGGAGGGATGTTTATATGTTTGCACTGGTCCACCGACTGTTACAAGCTTGACTTTTCATTTCAATTGATCTAGTGAGGTGAAATAAATCAACAAACCATCCAAAGAAAAGAGACACTGAGATTTTGCCCTTGATATAAAAATGTGTGTTGTGTTTATAACTGACTTTATTTATATAAATTCTACAAGTTGCATAACATCTACACAATGAATTATTACTTTTTGAATTATACTTATATACTAAATTGAATTACATGATTAATTCTTATGGGATTTACTTATAAAACTTTATGTGAGAAAATATAGCATCATATCCAGTTTTATTACTAAAATTAAAAACATAAATTTTGCAAGCTCTTAAGAGTGACAAATCATGATCCCTAATGCAGCAGGAACTGACAGATTTGTTGTTAGAAGTAAAATTAGTATGACAGAAAAGAACATAGATTAAAAATGAAAAGTTAAAATATAGAAAAGCAACTAAACACTAAGTAAAATAAGTGAAACTTTTATGATGCTTTGAAGGTAGTCTGTTTCAAGCCCTGATAAATATCAAAGAGTTCTTGAAATGAAATATGAAAACCAGCTTTTCTTAAGGAACTAGACATGAAAGAATGTTTTCACGGACTCTGAGATAGTATGATGTTTATCTCTATCTAAATGAGGATAGAGATTGGAGGGGCAGGGTGGTAAAGGGCACGGAGTCATAGGGAGGAAAAAATTCAGCAAGTGTCACAGCAAAACAAAGAATTGCAGGCGTGGAAATGCCACTGTTTACTGGGGGAGGGAACTGACGTTCAATCACAAAGGAGACAGGGAGACAGAGATCAGTCCACCTGGATCCGGGGTCCTGAGCCTCAGAGCAGAGCTCCCTTTGGTGATCTCATACAACCTCTCTTGAGTAACAACTCAGTTTAGATGTTTCTCTCTTTTTCTGGAGAGAAGCATGGCATTTTCAGCTCAGGAGGTTTTCATAACAAGGATATAGAGAACTTTATGAAGTATGTACAAATTTCAAAATACAGAGTTTGGTTTTGTGGTTGGTTAAGAGGCTGTGAGGATAGAAGGATCTAGGGAACAGGGTAGGAGGAGAGGGAGAGGAACAGAAGAATGATAAGCAGTGAGTGAGGAAATAGAGGCAGGGTAAAGTGGGAGGAAAAACCACAGAGGGAGAGCGAGAAGGGAGAATAATGGCAGGCAGGCAGGCCGGCCAGCTGGCCCAGTGAGTTTCCAAGGTACTACTGATCTGGGCTTATGCTGTGCACTGTTCACAGCTCTTCAGCTGCTTGAGAACTTATGCCTCTGAGCCTCCACTCCTAATCAGGTAACAAGCAGAACATTCTGCCAAGGGAGAATAAAAAATTTTAGCTAGAATAACAGTAATCAGAGCACATCATTTTTAGGCCTTACAAAAATCAAATCAACAGGCCACATTCTCTTATTCTGAGTTTCTCTACCCTTGCTTTGAAGAAAGGGCATTGAATTTCAGTCTGTCTTTTATTGTGGGATTTGTAATCAACACTGGATTTCTTATAATAGAAAGTTCTTGATCAGTAAAGAAGATATTTTGAAATTTAGCTCTTATGACCTCTCCTCTCTTGAGACACACACTCTACAGAAAGGAAAATTCACTACACGTCATGAGTGTGAAATTACTTAAGAGAAAGGGTGACCTACCAGTGACCATGACATGGCATTTATGCTTTTAGTAATGACTTACAAGAAAGCAAGTCACACTGAGCCCTTGAGCACAAACATGAGATGTTTGTATCACACTGGAGTTTGGTCTCACTTTTTCTGGAAAAGCTCTCATCTGATATAATCAATTCAAAAGCCATTTATGTTCTTCACATTAATATAAGATGTGATATTCCATAAAGAGTAAATTCACTTTATGTTTATTTGTAGGCAAGTTAAAAATGAATTAGCCTGCCTGCTTACTGTTCACGGAGACTGTTCACATAATCTGCATGGGTTGCCGAGATGTTATTGCCATCTATAACCAAGTTATTTAATGACAAGGCGACATTAAGGTTCATCACTGGAATTGCTACCTCTCTAATATTTTCATCAGTTTTGCCTGATCCTAATATCACTGTTCAATTTTTGTTTTTGTATATATAGTGCACAATCACCTGAATACATGGGGAGCAGTGGCATCAGGGATGCATGATATGAGGTACCTGTTATGTGCTCAGTAAAAAAAGGTGGGAATAACAGTTTTTGACCTTAGAGGTTTATAATCCACTTGAGAAGACAGAACATATGCATAAGGAAAAAATGTAATGCTAGTATTTATATTTACTAGACACTGGTATAGCTTTTAATCTTAGTTTTCTGTCAGTGGTTAGAAACCAAACTTAAAGGAGAAAGAATTTTCTTATTCTACTCGGATATGCCTCTGTGTGGTGAATGCTGCACATAAACTTTCTCATTTAATCATCATAATATTGCCTGTGAAGTAGATACTATTATCCTCATTTTCTAGATTTAGAAAGTGAGGTTCAGAGAATTTAAATTAGTCATTGTAACTCTATTTTGTAAAAATAGGCATCTATGTCTGCAATAAACTGTGAATGTATATGCTTAAAATACTTCTGTGACTATTTAGTTGAAAAAACTCCCAATTCAAGTGTATTTATTGGCCAAATTTGAAGTACTTCTTATATAGTCCATCTATATTTTTCTTATAAATTTGACTTAACATTCATTTAAGAGGATACTTGGTTTCCAGATGGAGAAATAATTTTAACTTATAGGAGTGGAGAAACCAGAGATGTGCAGAAATTGTGTATCTCAAAAGAGAGTTCTAATTATAAGGACCCCTTAAATCTAAAAACTTTTTCCCTTTGGTATAAGCCATTGGTTTTGTGAAACATTGTGTTTTCATTAAAGGTGGTATTTTGGATGAATTGCTTGAAGCTCTGTGAATTTCTTCAAAAACCTATAGGGGAAGATCATGTAAGAAGATGCTTGCTGCTGTGGATCAGAATCAGGAACACTGGATCAACAAGAGGGAATATTAGCACAGTATTGCCTTAAAGAATTAGTAGAAGGTGAAAAGAGCTGTGGAGCAACACACACACACACACACACACACACACACACATTCTGACATCCTATATCCACACAGACATATAAACATAGATGCTTTTTAGGCAAGTTATCCAAATAATTCCATTAATGTGTTTTTCTGACCACATACATTAGCCCTACTAGATCTTTTGTCACCTGTATTCTGGAAAACAAAGAATTGATTCATTATTTAAGATTTATTCAACCATCACAATATGTAAGCACTGTGCTCAGTAATAAGAATATAATGAGAGAAGATAGTTTTTGTCTTTAAGAGCACCCAGCATCCTGTGGGAAAGGAGTTATTGCAGTGGCATGATGAAATAGAAGACATTCACAGAGAATTTCTAGTGGAGGGCTTATCATGTGGAGAGAATATCATGTGAGAGAATTATCTGTGGAGAGAATATCACGGAGGGCTTTCTGAAGGAGGTGATGTCTGAGCTGAGACTGGAAGAGCAAACAACAGTCATAAAGAGAGGTCAGGAGCTTGAGACAGAATCATGTGTATAGTCTGGGGTGGGTGCCATATAGTGATAAGGGAAGATGAGAGGGAGGGCGGAGAGGTAGGACTTAAAAAGTAGGGCTAAGTGGACTTTTCACTACCCGTAATGATGAGCCTTTGTAGCATTTAAAGCATGGCAAGACCAAGTTTGTATCTTAGAGGATCATTCTAGTAGCTGTGTTGACAATGGGCTTTAGGTAGACAAAACCTGGGTTTGGGTTAAGAGGCTGATGTAAAAATGCAGGTGAGAGATGCTGAGGGTTTGAACCAGCATCGTCGTTCAAGGGTAACAGAAACTGGGCAGTGGTGTTGGAGGACTTAAACATTTAGGAGGTACAGTTGGTTAATACCTGGTGCTGATCTGAATGTGGATGGATGGATGGATCAGGATTTCTCAGTTTTATCTTGGGTGGCTGGGCATGGAGGTGCGGAGGGCCGTATCTTCATTGAAGAAGGAACAGAAACTGGTGTGGCTAGTTGGAGGTGTGGTCAGCTTAGTTTAAGGTGTCTGGTTTATCGAGGAAGAGGTGATCAGCACGTGGATATTTTAGTATAGAGCTTGAGAAGGGGGTCTCTGGTGACAGTTTTGGAATTGTCAACCTACAGGTTCATTAAATTGAATATATAGCCTGTTCTGGCCTAGTACATTGCGTTGTCTTTTCCTTCTGGCTCGTATCTTAAAACAAAGATTTAGATCCCCGGAAATACACAATATTAATATTATACCTCCTGGTTGCGCATAAATAACAGAGTGAATCCCATAGAAGAGAAATGCTTTAGGGAAAATGTGAGTAACCAGATGGTTGTTTTTTTCCAGTGTGGCCGTGGAAATGCCTGCCTCAAAGAGATGTCACTTTCGCTGACCTTCCCACGGCTCATTCTGTGGAAGAGGCTGGCTCCGCGACTGTGTTCAGTTCAAAATGGCAGAAAAGGCTCCCCCTGGCTTAAACAGGAAGGCTTCAAGGTCAACGCTCTCTCTTCCACCAGAACCTGTGGACATCATTCGGAGCAAAACGTGCTCACGGAGAGTTAAAATCAATGTGGGGGGCCTGAACCATGAGGTCCTGTGGAGAACGTTGGACCGTCTGCCCAGGACACGCTTGGGGAAGCTGCGAGACTGCAACACTCACGAGAGCCTCCTGGAGGTGTGTGATGACTACAATCTGAACGAAAATGAGTATTTCTTTGATCGGCATCCAGGCGCCTTCACTTCCATTTTAAATTTCTACCGGACAGGGAAACTTCACATGATGGAAGAAATGTGTGCTCTGTCTTTTGGTCAGGAGCTTGATTATTGGGGCATTGATGAGATCTACCTGGAGTCCTGTTGCCAAGCCAGGTATCACCAGAAGAAAGAACAAATGAATGAAGAACTGAGGCGGGAGGCAGAGACCATGCGAGAGCGGGAAGGAGAAGAGTTCGATAACACCTGCTGCCCTGAGAAAAGGAAGAAGCTATGGGACTTGCTGGAGAAGCCCAACTCCTCAGTGGCTGCAAAGGTAAGAGAAGTGTGGCATTGCTTTCCTGTGTGTGGTCAGGAAAGGTGCTGTCTACATTCAGGAGGGTGTTATCTTCTTCACTGAAGATGTTTCGGTAAGACAGAACAGAATGGTAACTACAGAGACAGTGAAAGATTCTTTCCAAAATCTTTAGTCATGTAGAGTTATTCTGCCTGTGTAATGTCATCAGATGGCGTTAGTCTTTCGTAAGTATTACTGTGTAGGAACAGGTCTGGGCGACAGAGTGTGGAGCAGTCTGGTTTCCACACACTGTGTGTTGATAACTTGGAGGCAGAGAAGTTACTAGCTCAGATCCATCAGGCATGGAGTCTTGCAGAGAGAGGGCTGGGGCCTGGGCCTCATCCTGAGTAAAGGCAAGGTGTTGCCTTGGGAAGTGGAGGAGGTTCCTCCTGGCTTGATTCTCTAGAGGCACAGGGAGGGAAAGGGTCCTGTTGCTCAGAGGGCTGGCAGCCCCTCACAGGGGCGAGGGTCTGCCGTGTTAAGCTGTGTAGGGCATGTCAATGTCCAGATGCACCTATTGACTTCTCCTTGTGAGGACTACTCTGACAACGTTCCTGACTGCTGGGGTACAGTTGTTTCTGCAGGTGACATATTACCACATCTCAGAGTTCATAAAGTGTTTGCCTAAATGAAGGTATTAAATTCATATGTTTCCATTGTACCTGCATATATCGAAATCTCAAAGTAAATTGTTTTGCTGGTAATTTCAGTATTTAATTCAACTACATGATTCTATTTATCTAGTTTTATTTGGAGCTTTGAGAGTTAGCTCAAACTGATTTTTCATCCCATATGCTTAGTTCTATATTGCAATACAAATTATTAGAAAAAGCAAAAAGAGTCATCGTTAGCTGAGAAATATAGTAGTGATATTTTGTGCATATTATATGAAAATGGAATATAAAGAATGTAGTCATCATATGAATTCTTTAAATTACAGTTTCTTCAATTATTCATTCTTATAAACAGTAGAGATTATAGAACTATAATATGCCATATGTGCCTTTGACCAGAAATTAAGATTTCACATGATAACCTGGGACATATAAGTAATGGAAAGAGATGATCATAAAACTTCTTGTTTGACATGTCTGATTTTTCCATCTTGATGACTTATAAAGGCATTTTACTTTCCGGCCAGGACATGGAACTAAAGGAAATAAGCTGTATTTCCATTATACCAAATGAGGAAATGCACATTTTGCAGCAAATGAAAGATTTTAATCAGGTCTTTTTGTAGCTATGAATAATTTGTTTCCCAGTATTTTACCTGTAAGAAAGAAATAGAAGTGCTACATTTATGGGGTTCGGTTTGAAGGTTACTGCTCTTTCCAATGCCAAGTGTTTAGTTATATATTTGAGTTGCTCTTAAAAATATGGAGTGAATTTTGGAGATGGATGAGATAAGCTCTGAATTTAAGGGAATATTTTCGGTGTTCAATTAATTATTTCAAGCCTTTAGGCAATTGAGGGATAAACCATTGTTCCACCAAGTGTTCTAGATGGATTTAGCTAAATATGTGAAAATAAGCAACTAAATCAAAGAAAACTTCAAAGGTTATTGTGGTTTATTTGCTTATAACAACATTATTAATACACATCTAAAATTAAGTACTGTTATAGAAATATTTTAAAATATGTACACTTTTTTTTCCAGAAGAATTTCTCGTAAGGATGGACTGGGGTTCATCCTTGATTTCCCAGATGAGGGAGTTCATTTAATCTATACAGTTTAGAAGCAGCAGCTATCTCTTGATGTCTAAGAAGTTAATGTTGATAATGGATTATTACAATATATCATCATATACCCCTATACATCAGCCAGATGATTTAAACTGCCTTCAAATTTCTACCTACAAACTATAACCAGGAGTTAAAGACAATGGATTGGAAAATTTTATGTAGTTATACATAATAAATTTGTTTTCAAATTAATAATAGAAGCAATTCTTTGCTAACCTAAGTAGAACCTTTACTAAATTTTCATAAAGTATTTGTGCTGGTTTTTTTGAGAATCTGAATTTTCCTTTCTGTTTGAATCGTGGATTATTATGGAAGTTATTTACATTTGATTATGTAGTAGTTTAGTTAAAGTATTGTTCATTTGTCTGAGGTTTAGAACTTTTTAAAAACATCTCTGTATGGTGCCTTCTATAATCTACTACCTCTTCCTGTATTCTTTCAAGTCCTATGACTTGGTATTTCTCCAGAATAATGCTTGGTGATGGGGGAGCTAATACTAGGTTTGTGTGAGTAATATTTTTACAATTTTGGGACAGTTGGAACAGTCGTTTTGTTAAAGCTGCAGTGGGATGATACTCTAGCTCACACTATTAATTAATATTATGGCCACATGATGATTCTACTTAAACTGTAAAGTCTTATGCTGGAATGCTTGTAATCTTTGTGTTTTCTTAACCTGCTCAGGATGTAATCATTGGAGAATATTGTTTATTTTGTCTTTTCAATTATTGCTCATTCAGTTTGAGAGTTTGGTGGAACATATATAGAATGCTCTCTGTGTACTACAGACGTTAACATGCACATGTAGAAAGACACTCACATCTCTCCAGAATTTAAAAAAATTTCCCTTAGCTTAAACAGAGATTTTATATCCTTGAAAATATTTGTTGTTTTTTCTCTTTTGGTTTTTCTGTATTTTATAGTTCATCTATAATATCTATGTAATAAAGTGTAACAGTTACTAAGATTACTTGCCAAATGCCTAGCATAGAAAGAAAAACTTCATTATCATGGAATGAATACTCAGTTATCAATTAAGTAATAATTCTTCAGCCATGCTCTGTGCATCCACTATGATACACGAAGTTATTGCAAGGCTTGTTTTCTGTCATACTTTGTTTTTGGGTATGATCTTTACAATAACAATTTGGCTCTTACAGAACATGTTTCTTGATGTCACTTCTATTGATTGAACTTTCTGGTATATTAGTAACTGAAAATATGCCAAAACACTTTAAACTTTGGTTTATTTGAAATGTCTAAATTTAACAAAATAACATTTTTACACACCCACAAAATACCATGAATCTATTTTTTTAAACAAAATAATGACAGGGCTGTAATAGAAATTGTTATTTTATAATTTTCTGTGGTTTGGTATGATCTGGCAATGTGACACAAGTTTATATCTGTATGATACATAGACTTTGATTATCAATCTCATGTGATTGTGTATGTACTGTATATATACCCTCACACAGAGGTAATATGCAGAGTTTACATCTGACTGGCACAGATTTCTGGGTAACCATGACACGACATTGCTGGCTCTGGTGTGCCTTTCCGGGACTGTGCAAGGGCAGGAGATGGGCTTCCCCAACTGCCAGTTTCCTAGGCAGTGAACTGGAATTTGACTTGATCCTATTATGTCTTCCAGCCCAGGGCAATTTAGTCAGCCTCTGGTTGGAAATGTTTTTCTCTTTTTTCTTTGGCCTCTGACCAAAGGAACGGTAGTAGCTGTTTGTCTTTGAATATTGCCCGAGATGTCAGTCCACTAGGTGTTTGAGAGTATGCCAGGGGCTGGGCACCATAGCATGCGGTATGATCAGCCTGTGTGAGGAATCAACCACCAGGGAGGGCACAGCCACCTGAGAACTGAAAGGAACTGGGCTCCTCCGTATCATACAGCGCCCTCACTCTGGATCTCTGAGGTCAAGAACAAAGGAAGTCAGCTGAATCTTCAAGCAAATCCACTTAGGAACCTGTGCACATACGTGGACATGGTGTTCAGGACAGTGCTAGCCAAGAGGCCCATGCCAAGTGTCAGGTCAGGAAGCTAGACTGGGAGGAGCTCTTGTTGGATAAGCACTCTATGAGGCAAAATCTGCAGAAAGGTATTTCTGTTCATCTGAACCAGGAGAGTGAGACCCAGCCCCTGTGGGCCAGGACCCAGGGCTCATTGGGGGACATTGTTTATTACCTGCTTCTCTCTCCCCAATTCCCCTATTTATCCACAGCTACCACTTGTTTACCTAAGGACTCCTCTTCTTACATTTTTCCCCATTCTCTCTCCCTCCATCCCTTCCTGTCCCTTCCCTTGCTCAGGAAAGGGACAGAGATTGATAGAGAAGTATTTCTCAACCTTTATTCATTAATGGCTCTCTAAGAAGAAAAGTTAAATTTAAATTCTTCCTAAAGAGAGAAACTATATACTAAGGAATAAGATTTTTCAGGTGGCATGGAGTTTGTAGGGATACCAACTATTGTAATATCTAAGATTTTTGTCACCCCTCCCCACAAGAACCAGTTTACATTCCTTGGCAGCAACATTCTGTGGAAAAATGCATAGAGTAGGGGGAGGGATCACTGTGTTCCCTACCTCTGGCTCATTACCTCTACACGCCCACATGCTCATCACCTTGGGCGTGGTGCAGTGCAGCACCTAAAGCAAGCATGGCAAGATTGCTAAGGGTTGGAGACCTTAGTCATCCTTGGATCAAGGGGGAAGCTGGTGGTGACAGAGGCACAGACTCTATCCCTGAAACTCCAGCTCTCTGGATAGCCAGAGGTCAGCATTGTGAGTTTCCCAGAGAATGCTTGGGTGCCCAATTGAGAACCACACTCCCTCTTCTAACTAAATTAGAGCATGTGCCTTTCAAGTCACTGAAATAGTAAAATGAAAATGAATCCAAACGAAACAATAACTCTTGTGTGCTCACCAATGGGAAAAGGATGCAGAACATTCTCATTCTATTTATAGTTTTGTGGGTCAGTTATTCTAATGCTTTGAATGAAAGAAAAAAAGGTATTGCAACAGAGCCATAAATTACTTCCTTTTAGTCCAAGAAGAGAACTTTTATGTGTTGTGTTTATATATGTACACACAAACTGTGAAGCTGCCTGGGTTAGCTTTCTGATGACTTTCTTAGTGATAAGCAATTACAGTAGCCATTAAAACCATAAGTGAGCTCCCCAAAATGAGCTAATGCAGTGATGAGCGCTTACCAAGATCTCCC